TGGGCAAAAATATTAGCACCCCTGCATTTCAGGTAATGCACCACTTCTTCGCACAGAAAATTGTTGCAATTACAAATGTTTAGGCATTTTCATGTTTTTCTTTTGTTTTGTATTGGTATGGCACAAAATTAACAGCTTTTTGACAAAACAAAATGACAGCTTTTTGGTGAAGCCCATCATTCTACTGTTTTCAGAAAAAGAAATCAGGTCGTTAAAGAAAATAAAATACAGTCTGTAAAGTCAAACATGGTGGAGGTTCACTGATGTTTTGGGGTTGCTTTGCTCCTTCAGGCACTGGATGTCTTGACTGTGTGCATGGCATTATGAAATCTGAAGACTACCAAAGAATTCTGGGGTACAGTGTAGGGCCCAGTGTCAGAAAGTTGGCTCACCGTCAAAGGTCATGGGTCTTTCAGCAGGACAATGACCCAAAGCACACATCAAAAAGCACCCAGAAATGGTTTCAGACAAAGCACTGGAGCGAATTGGACTGGCCAGCAATGAGTGCAGATCTGAATCCCATAGAGCACCTGTGTAGAGATCTCTAATCAGCAGTTGGGAAAAGGAACCCTTCCAATCTGAGAGACCTGGAGCAGTTGGTGAAAGAAGAGTGGTCCAAAATTCTTGTAGAGAGGTGTAGCAAACTCATCGATGCTTACAGGAAACAATTGATTTCAGATATTTTTTCCATGGGCTGTGCTACCAAATATTAATTTAGGGTGCCAATAATTTGTCTGGTCCATTTTTGCAGTTTTGCGTGGAATGTCTCAGAATTGGCTTTTTTTTTATCCACTTTTTTGTGTCATCAATACAAACAAAAGAAATACACATGAGAATGTCTAAACATTTGTAATTGTAACAATTTTCTGCGCAAAGTCGTGCATTATCTGACAGAAATGCAGGGGTGCCAATATTTCTGGTCATGACTGTATGTGTGTTGTGTGCTATACTGCAGGTGCCATGACCGCTACTGTACTTGTGCATTGGGGTAGCACACAGTGAAAGGCTCATTTTATCTGTGAAGCCAGCCTAACACTATCTGATTATTCTTAATACGGTTTAGATTAGTCATTTTAATAGTGAGTATTACATTATATAGGTCTTGTTTTACAGAAATACTATGGCTAATACAAACAATATACTTAATATTATAGTACTGCTTATAATGTGCAGAGAGAGATGTATATGTAAAGGTTTCAACGCATGTACGGCCCTGAGGTATTTGTTATTTAGGTTTACTACATCGTATTTTCTTTTTTTGTTAGCAGCCATATTACAGAGTAGAAGGTGACTGTAGCATACCTCTATGGCATTACTGGACATGAAGTCACATGTATGTTTTGGATTGCCTGTACTGTAATATACAGGGTTATTCACAACAGGGTGAAGAGTTTGGAGGTAGGTAGGAGAAGTGATAATCTAGGACAACATAGCTGATTTGGAAACATTCTCCAATTCAGCTCACGTTCCAGTTCAGCTTTGTTGGCCTGTTCACTTCTATTGCCTACTCTAAAATCTTCACCCTTTTGTGAATAACCCCCATCATTTTTATATTTAAAGGAGAACTATGGGGTCAGGGTTTTTCCCCATAGTTCTAAGGGTAACTGGAGGATACAAGCTAGCGTCCTCCCGTCACCCAAAGCTCAGTATACCGCGAGCAGTATACTGAGACGCCGCAGCCGGAACGGATCCCGACAATGCTGTCTGTATCCACCCAGCTGCGTGAGTGATAGCTGGCTCTGCCTATCTAAAGGCAGAGCCAGCTGTACCCGCCCCCTCCCCCATCTGTTCCGCCAGTCAGCGCTGGAGGATCGGACAGGGGAGGGGGATCCCTTCAGGGAGCCGTGAGTGACAGTCACCGCTCTCTGCAGCGATAGATCGAGAAGTGAGCGAGCGCCGCTATGTGTTCGCTCACTTCCCGATCTACTGAGTCGACCTGTGACAGTTTCATTGTCACAGGTCGGCTCAGATTATGAGGCTGAGTGAAAATCACTTGCCTCATAATTCTCCTTTAATTTTAATTAACTACATATGCTTTAATCAATCTCTGACAGGTTTTACATTTTTAATAGATCTAATAGGCAACCCAGGCAAACTCATGGAGAGTATACCTGCTCTATATAGGCAGCGGTGTTGTGGGACTCCAGAGCTGCAACAAGCACCCATGCTGCCTTGCATGCATGCTTAGAAAGGCGGTGTATATAACTTAGGCTTTTATTTTAAAAAAATGTACTCCACCTAGTAAATAGCTGCACTAGTCTTGGCAAACATTTGATGTCATATTGTGGCAGCGTAGAGCTGTACACATGGCAGGATCCTCTTAAATATTCATCTTCCATTGAATTGTGATGGAAAAATACATACCGTAATAGGGTAAACAAACCTAGAAGCAGCTGAACAAGTATGAGCAGATTCACTTCCTGATCATTTAGCACAGCAAGGTCATATCTTTCCCTTTCATCATGTGACCTAAAAGAACAAATACAATTAAACAAAAATGGCATACTGTCTGATGATGATGGTATGCAAATTATTATAGAGCAGTCTAGAGTCGATTTGTTATCCTTGCTAACAGGCTAATAAGTAAAAAGTCTGTAACCACATTTTTTATCAAATCTGGCCACAAAACCCAAACAAAGTTTCCAAAGAATAAGAACCCTTATGCAGGGGGAAAATTAACACTGTGAACATTGTGCTGAATGCCGAAAGGAGCATTTCATAGTTGTGCGTGGGGGTAGGCAGACACAGCAGCCCACTCCCTTATGATCTTAAAGCTAGCCAGGTACAAAATAACGTATATTTTGGTTACATGCTTAAGAAAATCATCTAATCTGTATATTAACAGCCCACCCAGCATCAGAAACTGGAACAAACTGCTTAATCACTTATGCTTGGATATCCAAACTGTTCTGTTGTTAGAAACTGTGAAATAGTTGCCTCCCTTTCTTTTATCACGCATACCTATGTAACCTATGGTGAAAATGGCCTAAGCACAGAGTAGCTTGCAGAGAAATGGTAGAACAGTGTCAAAATGTTGGATGTATGTTCTAATCATTGACTTGCCTTGTACACTATTGGTAATTTGGTATCAAGTTCCTATATATAATTCTGGGCAGTTACTGTTCTTAAAGAGACTGTGCCATGTAAACAAATGTTTTCAAGTAAGCGCATACCTTTTAAAATAGAGGCCACATACTTATCCTTCTTCCCACTCCTCTAAGGCCCCTTTCACGCGGGCACCTCCAGTTCCCATCAGCAGGGGATCTGTGCAGAGATCCCCTGCTGATCGGAGCAGTTTGGTACAGATGTCACTGTTGTGACATCTATGTCCGTCCAGTTTTTTCCTCCATCTTGCTATGGAGTAAAAAGCTGAAATTACTGGACCCATGTTGGTCTATCTGGAGTCCAGTAATCAGATGTAAATGAACACATGTCCGTTTAGATTCAGCTCCCAATAGACTAACAGTGGGCTTCTGATCAGATCTGCCTGAAAAACTGACAAGCAGACCTAATTGCAATGCCCATGTAAAAGGGCTCAATAAGGGCTCATTTGCACCATGTGCGGTGACTGGTGTTTTGATGAATCTGATTAATGCCCAGTTTACACCAGAACGGAGCAGAGAGGTGCAGGAAAACAAGCAGCATGTCTGCATTTTTCCGCACTACACCAGAGCATGTGTACAAGCCAAAATGCTGCTCCTCTGAAGAGAACTGGTGTGCCAAAGTCTGCTGGTGAACCAATGCTTTTTGTAGTGTCAATTGTCTTGGCCCACTACAGCTCTCACTAGTTCTCTCTGACCTCACATCACTACAGAGAACCACAGAGTTTATCACTTCCAGAAGTGTTGGTTTTCCAGCAGACTTCAAAGGACCAGTTTTCTGCAACAGTGTAGCATTGAACGGTGTGGGAAGCAAGAGAGGTAAGTACTGAAGAAGAGACAACACATATGGGCTTTCCAGAAAGCATTAATTACATAAGATTTTTTTTTTTAATTCACGCAAATCTTGTCTAAATGTCATTTAGATTTTTTTAAGCACTGTCATGAAATATTTCCATTTTTAATTGATTAAATATTGTGTTCATCATGTTCACCTTTTTTTTTTCATTCTATGTTGCATGTTGGCATTGCTGATCTCCTTCAGTTTATAAGTTCAAAGTGTATGTAGTTGTGCAGTTAATGACTAACAGGGCTTATACTTATTCCCACCTATATTTATTCCTTCTGTCTATTTGTTTCTCCTTCCTTCTCCCATAATTCTCTTACAACAACAAACTGCTGAATAAACATATTTAGTTACAAGTCAATGTTTTGTTGCTCTTTTATAAATTAGCATGTTGGTGATAGCATTGTCTAAAGTTGCATGTATATTGTTAATGTTACAACATTATCTTTTTTTATTTGTTCCACTTGTATTGTGTCTTTAAAACCTTCCGTTTGGTAAAATCATTGTCCTAAGGACAGTAAGTGAGGGGAAATCTCTCTCTAACGGCACCCTGCATAGCAGTAAAAACCCAACAGACCTTCTAATCGTTAATCACTCCATCCAAAACTAAAAAAAAAACGGTTTCTCTGGACATACTTAAGAGTCATGTACAGCCCCACTGCTGTCCAAATATGTTATGTATCATGAGGCTGACCTCCTTACTTGTATTCATGTCACATATGGAATATAGAGTGAACTGAATACATGTGGTGATTGTGGATTGCACCAGCTCCATAGAGTTATCACTCCTAAAAAGTTATTCAATTATACATTTGCTGCGCACCTCACACTTGACATACTGCAGATATTGACTGGCCATTTACAATAATTACAGATAGCAGTAGATCTTACTGAAATATGACCTATGCAGAATTTCCCAGGGAGGATAGGCAGGACATTCAAAAGAATTGTGTGTGTGATATAATGGTTATTCTGTGTACTTTGCCTGATAAAAGCAATTAGTTCTATTGATTTCATTTCAGGAGTAGCTCATGTTTTTTGTGTTCTATTCACAGGTTTGGTCCTGCAGGAGATCTCCTCTGTGCACAAAAAGCTAAATGAAAGCTTTGAAGAAAATGTATGTACCTTTCTAATATCAATATTGTTGTAGTATTTTTATAAAACAGCTTCAATAGGACATTGATGGCCTGGAGGCAAATATTCAATTTTCTGATCCAGAAAACACTTTAAAAAAATAACCGTCACATTGAATATCCTGACAGGCTAACAGTATTTCTATACAAATCCCAGCAATACTTTATACAGCAATGCAGAATAAAGCACAGGACAGAAACAGCAGGCAATATTTCTAAAGTAGATGTGGAGTTCAGTTGCAGTTTTGCTGTGCCACACCTGTACATTGTGCACTCTGTGCTGCCGCTCTGCACCGGGGTGCCGGCCTGATTTCTCCAGGCGGAGTATCTCAGGAGGGGGAGACGTGCAGAGGGTATCAGGAGGGGGTGATGTGCAGGCCGCTGTAAACAAAGGCACCGCGTCAATCCCAAGAAGGATGCCGTGAGGTCCCCAACAAGAGCAGGGCCAAAAGCAGCCGCTTAATTTGCATAATTAAAGCGCCAGTATCGGAGAATTAGTACAAGTGCTCGTGCAATTGCTCAGTATTGGCACTGATACTGGTATTGGTGCATTCTCTGTAGTATATATGAATATATTCATTGAGAAGAACACTCACGGGCTTTTAAAGGAGCAAGTGTCATTCAAGAGGCTTTATTCACTGATGTTTTGGTGGGTCAAAGCCCACCTTTATCAAGGCAACTTCCAAAAACACACCAACATTAAATATCCCACCTCCATAATAAATTACATCTTTACCAGCAGTGACAAGATAAAAACATGTAGACATTTACATAAAAGAGGTAACCGTAAACCAGAGCAATCACCAACTCATAATGAGTTCAAGTTTACAGTGATATCAAATAACTTTATAAAACTGTAGTTATGTTTCATAGTATTAATATACTATTCAATCGGACACAACATAAGCCATAACAACAACTGGGAAAGTGGACTACACAATAATGGGAACGCCACTAGGGAAGTCAGAAATGGAAAAAGATTTGGGGGTCATTGTAGACCACAGATTGAATGATAGCTTGCAGTGCCAGGCTGCTGTAAACAAAGCAAGTAGAGTCCTGTCCTGTATTAAGAAGGGGATGTACTGTAGAGACAAGTCTATAATTGTGCCACTTTACAGATCACTGAGTCGACCTCATCTAGAGTATGCAGTCCAGTTTTGGTCACCAATCCACAGAAATGTTCTTGAGCTGGAAAGAGTCCAGAGGAGGGCAACCAAACTAAGGGGATGGAGGACCAAAGCTATGAGACAAGGCAACTAGATTTAAATATGTTCATGCTGGAAGTAATGAGATTAAGGGGGGACACGATTTTCATGTACAAGATGTTCAATGGTGATAGTAACATCAGCAACAAACTCTTTACGGTTAACCCCATAACAAAGACTAGAGACCACCTCCTAAAATTGGTGGAGAAAAAATTTCAGCACAAGGGGCGAAGGGGCTTCTTCTCAGTTAGGGCGGTTAGGGTCTGAAACTCCCTGCCACATGCAGTGATTTCAGCTAAGAGTGTTGAATCATTCAAAAAGCTTTTGGACAATTTCCTTAGAGACCATAACATACAGGGGTACAGGTATACTTAAGAACAAGATCACACATGCACTCATACACACGCAAACACCTGCAGTTTCACATACATACACGCAATAGGTTGGACTTGATGGACCTGTGTCTTTATTCAACCTCAAAAACTATGTAACTGAGAATTGTGACTACGACTATTGAAAGATGAAAGCATACCAACAAAGAATGCATCAGCATGTAGCAAGCCACAGTCTTTAGACATACAGTTACTGTCCTTAATGTCATGGCAATGGATCGCACAGGAAGTGACATAAGCAGAAACAGGTTGCACAGGAAGTGACATAGGCACATTTTAATTACTCTTTATTGCTGGGGTTTTGGGTAACTAGTGAAGTTGGGCACCTGTAAACAAAATGAACCCTTTATCACCAACACACACAGCTCCTGCTAGTCTGAGAAGACCATGTCCTATCACTGCTCTTATGCTGAAGTGTTCCTTGATAAATTTCCTAAGCAGCCAGCTTTCTCAACTTTAATAACTCGTAATTTTCTGGTGTACAGCATGTACATTCCATTTATTAAACAAATGTGTATAATCTCTCATTTAAAACAGAAAAACATACTCATTTTAAACAGATGCAGACTTGTCATTGGGGAGGATTTGCTGTAATTTTCCCAGTTTCTGAAGCTTTTCTGGCCTTATATCTGTATTTTAAAGTTCCCTTTCAAAAAGTGAATAAATAGGGCAGTGCATGTGCAGCACAGATCTATGCGCATGCTTAAAGTGCACCTGTGCCCAGACAATCAACAATCAAACAGTAAAACTACTTTAAAAACAATCCTTTACTAATCTCTCTAGCTGCATGCACTATAAAGTAATTGATCCTCAAATATCAGAATAGTGGTCCGTTTCTAACAACCTACAGAACTTCCTGTTTGTTTACAACAGAAGGCTGACAGGCTGCACTTTTCTGCTTCCATATAAAATAAGGGTGTGGGAGCTGAGATTACAATACGCCTGTTGAAGATTAGTTTCTCCACAATGCCCATAGCTACAGAGGTCAGTAAGGGCTTGTTTAAGGAGCATTTACTGCTTGCTTAGAATGTGTATAGTCTGGGCACATTGGAATTTAAGTTCCACTCCTGATGCCACCTAAGGCATTAAACACATGCTGACAACAGAGATGAGTAGAAGGAAGAGAAAAGACAGCATGAACAGCCTGGTGGCCGCTAGCAGGCCTCTTTAGCATCCTACACAATAATGTGCTGGCATAGTGCCTGCCTCTTCTTCTGACTCGAATCCTGATGGAGCCTAACTAGAGAAGGCCTACAAGGAGTCTGATTTTGCCAACATTTTTAAGGTGGAACTAACATCAGTTCTAGCAGTTTTAGGAATTTGGCCAGCAAAGGTAGTGGACGTATTGAAACCTGAGCTTATTTAAGATACTGCACACCATTTCTGGAGTGTATTTTACATGTTTTTTTAACTATGGTGTCACTAATTAGCAGATACTGATGCAAATCTGTTGATGGTGGTAGATGTACAAGGTAATAAGCTTAGTATCTATAAAAATTCAGTCACCCTCAGGGCACTAATCCTCCAAACCAAATACAGTCTACAAGGCAGTTCAACAATATTACACAAGGCACTACTCCACCTTGATGACAGTTGCTTGTAACAGCTTGGCTGACTTCCTCCATAAACTTTCCCTGCCCATACTGACTCATGAGCCCCAATTAGCTCTTAATCAAGATATCTCAGAAGAGGAAGTAGGTATGTATTTACTATTTCAAAAACTCTCATCCCTAACAACGATTGGGCATTTTACATATCTTTAGTAGACAAAAAATTATTCCTGAAGGGTAACCCAGCTTCACTTGAGTTAACTCAGTCCCTTATCCGCTATTCTAAAACCTAGCAAAGACAGATGAAACATTTATGATTACTTGCCTATCTCTCTTCTAAATAGGGATGCACGATACCAGTTTTTCAGTATCAAGTACCGATATTCTTTTCCGGTACTCGCCAATACCGATACCGGAAGTGTCATTAAGGAAGCCAGGCGGCGTGTAATGACTCGCCACCTGGCTTCCTGATTAGCATGGAAGCCGTCTCCATGCTCCCTCCTCACCAGGTGACAAGGAAGCATGAAGCCAGCTTTCTGGCCAATCAGAAAGCTGGGGCGTGTAATGACTCGCTGCCTGGCTTCGTGATACCGGAAGCTCAAGTATCGGGCTAGGCATCGGAGCATTTGGACAAGTACTAGTACGCACCCAAATCATTAATGTTTCATGGGTCATTTGGGCAAGTACGAGTACGCACCCAAATACTAGGCATCGGCACCGATACTAGTATTGGTATCGGTGCATCCCTACTTCTAAACATAAAAATATTTACACCCATTCTATCAAACAGATTGAATAAATACACCCTTATTTTGATCTGTAATCACCAGTTAAGATGTATGCCAGTAGAACAAAGCTGTGACAACATCTGAAAAAGCTCGGTATGCCAACCAGTATGCATTCACAGAAGAACCAGACAAGGATGCTCTTTTTCCCTACTTTATATGTGCTTCCAATAGAACTTCTGGCTGAATTGTTTAGAAATTATATCTCTAGGGACGTAGAAAATACAAGGCAAGCAACATGCTGCTAACAGTTACAAATGCTCAACCCTCTGACACTTTTCCAGCTAATGACAAACTTTTGAAACGTTTTGGGACTATAATAAAATTCTGAGGAAACTAAAGTGCTGTTCTGCAGCGTACCCACTCAATTCCAGGAACATTATGAAAAAAACATTGTTTCTCTAAGTTGCCAAAAGTATTTACCTTACCTGGGTATTAGACTTCACAACGTGCTACCGTCTGTGTGTACATGAAAATATTCCCCTTTACTGGATAAACTAAAGGTGTGAAATGCTTCAACACACTCTTGAATCTGTAGAATACATCTTATAAAAATCAACTTTTACCAAGGATTTTTTACTACTTTAGTTTTAAACAGCCTGTAGTGGACAACATATTTTCTTTATACGCTCGTTTAGAAGGAGACCAGAGGATCAGTTTAGAGTTACACCAGTAATGGCACCAGTGCTGCATGCTCTATAACCCTCTGCAAAGGAAACTATTTGTTAACCCTGATGCAGCCATTCTTACAGCTCTGGTATAGGACCTATGTGATCCCTGCGAAAATGCAAAAAAATGATCCCTAAACCCCTTTGGCATGCTTCAGAGGATGCACAGTATTAGGCTCTTTCGTCCACATATGGTAGCAGTGCTTAAATATGCCATACCATTACTTCTCCATGCTCACTGAGCAGAGGTGGTGAGGATGATGATGTAGTGTCTAAGGAAGCTGGAGGCAAACGTGACATAGGAAACTCAATTGCTTAATTGGGAATGAAGTGTGTCAAGTATGTGAGCTATGTAAAAAAATATGTGAACGGGTTATTTGTACAAGATTACAATTCTCTAACAGGTTAAACACAAAACATAAATCTATTTCAACTGTGTATATTAACCTGCTTGCCTGAAGGTTCCTTAACATATATAATCCATAGAAATATAATGCAAAGTTTGTGCCCGTTTTACATTTGCTGAGATTTTGCTAAAGAGAAATATCAATAAACCTATAACGCAAGTCATTTTTAGGAAGGCTGTAGGGAGAGCAAATGTAGAAACATTACATTGTAAAGGGGCTGATCGCGAGCAGTCTCATGTAACCATGTTTCCAATCCATGACTGTCCCCAAGAATACTGTATGTCCCCAGTCTCCAACAACTATAGCATGTTTGCAGTCTCTGACCATCTCTTGTAGCATGATAATTCCACAAAAAGCCAAACCAGCGCCAGACAGGAACCTCCTTCAGCAACAAATTGAATCTTTTGTTCCAGGAAGGCCGCCCCTTTACAGATGAGGGATTACACTGTGTGAAACATAAAAAACAAACAACGGGCACCTTTCCTGGTGCAAATAATCCTTTTATTTCTTTGGAAAGATTAAAAGTGATAAATGGTACTCACAAAAGTTTTTATCACTTTTAATCTTTCCAAAGAAATAAAAGGATTATTTGCACCAGGAAAGGTGCCCTGTGTTTCTTTTTTATCTCTTGTAGCATGCCCACAGTGTCTGGAAGCTTTCTTTAGGATACTGAATACTATGTGTCGCCCGTATAAGTAAGTTGACCACCACTGTATTTTGTAGATGGTGCTATTTAGTTGATAAGTAGGTTAATGGAAACAAGGGACAAAAACACTAGTATTTGATAGAATGAGATCCAGAATATTCTCGACAGCCACATCATTCTAGTGACTGTATTTTAAAATATTTTGTGATTATTTAATTTTTTCTCAGTTTCGAAAGTTCCACCGAGAAATTATTGGAGAGCTAGAGAAGAAGACCGATCAAGATATCAAATATATGAATGTGAGTACATGGTCGTAGGATTTGATAATACGAGCTTCAGTAGCAATAGCCTTCGCCTTTCATCCCTTCCATGTAGCACTGATATAAATATAGGTAAACTGCCCTCTGTCATCTTCCATAGTGTCTCTCTAGCTATTTATATACTTTGTGCTTTTGTTTCTGTGTACACTGAGGGGGGTTATGTAATTTCACTTTGAAATAACAGCTGGCAATTTAGAAAATGCTGTGAGGTATACCAGGTAAGAGGGAGAGAGAAGGGTGTCCTAATTAAATCTGCTGCTTAAATCTGGGCATTGTCTTGCAACCACATTAAAACTGCTAGGACTACATCCAAAAATTGGTTTTACAGCTTTCCTTGGAGAAATCGTTAAAGAAACAGCTTAAAGGGTAAGTTCACGTTCTCAAAAAAATAGAGAAAATGAACTTACCAACACCACTCCACCACCTTTCCCTGCTCCCACTGTTCATACCCTTTACGCTGCAAGGTATGAACAGTGGGGGAAGGCAGAGTTGGTGGAGTGATGTGGGCAAGTTCATTTTCTCGATAAGAAAGTGGACTTGCCCTTTAAAAGTGCTATAGAGATGCCTTCTGCTAAGACGTACATTTCAATCTTTGCAGCCAAATTGAGATAATGCCTACTTTTATATTTGTTACACTTTCCTTTCACATAGCATACTTTTCATAATTAACCCTGTCTGTACTGTGCTAGCAGATCATCATTATCGGTTGTAAACTAGATGTGCACGCTGGGATTGCTGCACAAGGGAGAAGCTGGTTGGTACTAATAAAGAGATTAAAGGAGAACTATGGGGTCAGGGCTTTTCCCCATAGTTCTCCTAATGGTAACAGGAGGACACAAACCAGCGTCCTCCCGTCACCCAAAGCTCAGCTACAGCTCGCGGTATACTGAGACGCCGCAGCCGGGACGGATCCCGACATTACTGTCTGGATCCACCCAGCTGCGTGAGTGACAGCTGGCTCTGCCTATCTAGAGGCAGAGCCAGCTGTGCCCGCCCCCTCCCCTGTCCTTTCCGCCAGTCAGTGCTGGAGGATCGGACAGGGGGGGGGGAGAATCCCTGCAGGGAGCCGTGACAGTCACGGCTCTCTGCAGGGACAGGATCGAGAAGTGAGCGAACTACGCTATGTGTTCGGTCACTTCCCGATCTATTGAGCCGATCTGTGACAGTTTCATTGACACAGGTCGGCTAGAACTATGAGGATGAGTGATTTTCACTCGCCTCATAGTTCTCCTTTAAGATCTCAAGGCACATTGCGAGCTATTCTGAACGATAGAAGCTGTCTATAGAGCCCTATATATAAACCTGCTCTAAAGAAACAACTTGAAAGTTTAGAAATATTTTATACAATTATATTTAGATATGCTGTGTAAATAGAAACACATAACCAACATACAGTGGGGGTTTCTGAAATGTGACTGCAAAGGTGGAAATACACTAAAGGCCCCTTTCACATGGGCCGATCAGGTGGGGATCCGTGCATGGATCACCCCCGATCGGAACTATACAGATCAGATGCCATCTCAATGAGATCCGTGTCCGCCTAGTTTTTCACAAGATGGAGGAAAGAACTAAAACTGCCGGACCAAAGACTACAAGACTAAAAGGATTCTAGGGTTGTGTTTACAGCATATTGGATCATATTTTGTTCTTTGCTTCTAGGCCACACTAAAGAGATTCCAGACAGAACACAGACATAAAATTGATTCTCTTGAAAAATCGCAGTCAGACCTAAAGAAATTAAGGAGAAAAAGCCAAGGCACCAAAAATGGTGGCAAGTATGACATGAAAGAATCAGAGGTGTGTATGCTAAATAAACCTACAATGTGCTATATCTGTGCAGCCATCTTAAATAAATAGAGAGAGAGAGAGTGTGTGTGTCTGGCTGTCTGTCTGTCTCTCCAACTTTACTTTCATTTGTATCAGTTATGCTTTTTAGTGTCAGACTGCACAGCCTTCTTATGCAGACTCTTTAAAGTGGACCTTTACCCATATCTTTAAAATAACAACAAACACACCTTTAGAAATGCATACCTTATTATTCTTTTCTTCCCCAGTCTTCTGGCAGTGGCCATGTTTATTAAGGGCAGATTACTAGCTCTCCATTTACTTCCTGCATTTCTGGCACATGTGACTAGAACATGTGACCATGCACATCATCTCAGGGGATGAAAATGCTTTCCCTGAGATCTCATTAGGATTACAGATGAAACTTCCTAGCAATACTCTGCTGATGGCAAGGCAATCCCAGTGTGCATTACTATGCCAAACTGAATGTTCTGCAAGTGTAAGTATTTTAAAATGACAGCATTTTACACATGATATGACCATGTTATTAATCTTCATACATGGAGGGATGCATTGGTAGAATTTGATTTTTGAGTGTAAAGGTCCACTTTAATCTTCCGTTATACACCAAACAGGAACCTTCACTCTTAAGTGTTAAAATGTCTCTTCCTGTTCCATGTTTTATTTCTCATTGGCAATGGGACCTGGGTGTTACATGGTCGGACGAACAGAGAGACTTTATTCTTCATATCGCACCTAAAGCTTCCATTGCCAACAAATTCCAAGAAGCTAGCTATAAACTGCTCTCGGGATGGCACCAGGGAAACTCCATAAAATCTTTCCCTGCTCTTCTCAATTGTGTTGGTGATGTGGCCGGGATCTAAGCTGCACATTCTTTAGGCCTGCCCGATCATCTGTCCGTTTTCAAGAATTACATCATGTACTTTTCCCAAGTCACTGGCTCGGATCTGGGTTCTGACCCGGCTAAGTACTTGCATCTCCATAACATGTCTAAACGATGTTATCGCAAGCCCATGTTGATTCACCTTAATGCAGGGAAATCCTGTATCCTGCTTCTCTGGAAACAATCCATGCCTCCCTCAATTTTGCTGTGGCTCCAAAAGGTTGATGATATTATGGATATGGGGGACCTCACTATGTCTTTACAACACCGACAGGAGCAATTTCAGCGCACCAGGTTTTACTGGCATGAATTTACTTCTACTAGTGAATATGAAACACTGCTGAATGGCTAAACCCACCGTTAACTGGGCGCAGCTTCCCTGAAGACTGGGACGCTCACTCCCTTTTTTTTTCTCCCCTTTGCTTCTTTCCCTTGTGGCCCTTTTACTCCTCACCTCTTTGGTCTCTTTGCTTCCTTCTTCTCTCAACTTGCTATCTAATGATCGGAATGGAGATCTCCATATTCGACGTGCGTATCCCCGGGAATCTCGGTGCTATTCTCCTAGGAGAAAGGTATCTATTCATAATCTATTCCCATGCATTTTGGAAACAAAACATATATTAATAAAATATGGCCTTTGTTAGCAACCCCATCAGTGTTAAATGGTTTGTCCCAACCCTGTATCTGCCACTTTTGCTGGACAGTTGGCCTGTTGGAGAAATGTGAAAAATAAAAGACTTACTGGTCGGATCACCAGGTGAAAATAAAGGACAAAAAGCCTTAAAAAAAAACTAAAGCAGCCACCACATACAGAGATATGTGAACTGAATTATATTACATTTTTGCTTTTGGGTTTAGATGAACTTTAAATACACTTTAAATTCTTTTTTCCAAAAATGTGTATGCGTTACCAACATCTCTATCGCACCATTTCTTTCACTCAAAGTACTTTGTCTACAACCCAGTTTCTCCAGCCATATTTCCGTTCCTTAATGCCTTTATCATTTCTCTTGCTAGAATGCAAACTGGTTCGTGCATGAGATTTATTCCTTTGTGTATTTACCCAACATGGGTGAATTAATATATAATACAAATTATTTGTGTTGTGTGCTAAAAACAAATTGAAAATGTATAAAAATCTCCTGCCATTAAAATAATAATACTTTTTAATGACTGTGTTATTTTACCTTTACTTAGCCCTTGGTGAAAATGTTTGCTTTTGTAGAACAAAGCTGTTCTGGCTTAGTATGCTACCTTGAAGTGTGTAAAATATTTTGCAGAGCTATAAAGTATTTCCATCCTTTTGTATACATAGTACATGGAGACCATTAATTCCCGCCAGAATGACATCCAGAAATTCATAGTTGATGGCTGCAAAGACGCACTACTGGAGGAAAAGAGACGTTTCTGCTTCCTGGTGGACCGACACTGTAGTTTTGCTAATTATCTCAATTATTATCACATACAGGTAGGATTTCAAATTCTAAATGCATAGAAATACCCTCTCTCATATAATTGGAGTATAAGACAAAGTTGCACGCCCTGTGTTGCATGTATTGTTTTCAAATAGTAAAAGTTTAAGGAAGAACTCCAGGCACAACTTTTATCAACCCTTGCAGTGGGGCTTGCAGGTACTGCAAAGGTTTACTGCTCGTTTTTAGGGATGCGCCGATACTGGGCATTTTCACAACAATACCCCGATACAACGGCCGATATCGGAGCTTTAAACGTGTAAAAACATTTGGCTACTGTAAGGTCCCGCTCTTGCTGGGGACCTCGCAGCGGCTGTTTACAGCGCCGGCCGCGCTTCTCCTCCTTCCCACCGCCCTGGTGAGCAACACTGAGTATCTAGCTTCATATTATTCTGCATTGTTATATAATGTATTGCTGGGCTTTGCAGTCCTCTACAGCTGGTGGTATTCTGCATTGTTGTATAATGTATTGCTGGGATTTGTAGTCCTCTTTACAGCTTGGAGTCAGTGGCAGAACTAACAGGGTCACATGTGTAACCAGGCCCTAGTGCTCTACTGCTGTCCTAAAATCATTAGTCTGCATTGTTTTAGAAAAACAGTCGCATGACAGTAACAAAAAAGGATCATTAATTGGTATAGTGGTAAGTTATACTCCTCCGAACCGCAGAGCCAGCTTGGTCTTAGACTGGTCCTTCCAGTCTTTCTCCCCCTATACTGCAGCAGTCTAAGGTCCTTTAAATCATCACGTTCTATATACAGTTAGGGGAATTTATCAAAACTGGAGCACACAAAATCTGGAGCAGCTGTGCACGGCAACCAATCTGCGTCTCTCTCATCTTCAAACCTTAACTGAACAGACTGAAGGGAGAAGCTGGTTGGTTACCATGGGCAACTGCTCCCGTTTCTCCCTGCTCCAGTTTTGATAAATTCCGCCTTGTATTTAGACATGAGGATGCTGAGAAACATACCAATGCTGCAAGAGGAGACGGGCTTCAGAGACCAGAGAAGCAGGGAGCCGGCTCAGCGTTTTGGGTGAGTATAACTCTTTTTTCTTAACACCTTGGCCAAAAAATAGCTGTTATCCCTTGCAGTATAGTGGTAGCCCCGCTGCAAATCATAAAAGTTTTCGCCTGGAGTTCTTTAAAATGCAATTCAGTAAACCCACTGTAAAAAAAAAAAAATCAAGAAACAGTACAAGGATAAAGTCATCTATTTTAGGTCTCTAACTCTAGCTCATTATGTGTAGTTTTAGACCTGACTTACTGAGAACCTAATTTTATGGTTGGTCCATATCTCTTTGAATGTAAGAACTGTGGGGTGGTGGAAGCTTGTAGTGTTGCAGTACTCATGTCCTGCCACTAAGGACATATTTTGCATGGAGTTTGTATGTTCTACCACTGTTTGTGTGGGTGTCTTCCCACAAACCAAAAGCATATTGATAGGGCATTTGTCTTTCTGCTAGTCTGGCCCTGTTATGCGTATTTATAATTGTAGGGGCATTATATTGCAAGCTCCAACAAGGACAGGAACTCTACTTCCCTTGCGTGGCCAAATTAGTTAATGCCATATAATTCAAATTAGTTGGCGCCATATAAATCAAATTAGTTGGCGATATATAAATGCTATTAATAATGTTATAAGAATGATTACATCTGCCTACCCTTTCTTGGAGCATGAGTACCCACCTTCTCTACAGAGCTCTGATCTGATCCAGTTTTTACAAGTGATATTTATATTGATGTTTAATTCCTTTTCAGAATTAGGGGGTACATTGCATTTCTTACCTCACTGTAGAAAATCATATTCCACAATTTTTTAAGTCTAACATTTCCAATAGACTTAGTAGTGGGGCTGATTTCTGTCGGTTCTCTAAGGTCTGTTCGCCTATAGCACCAGGATCTATCTTGAAACGAAGCAGTACATCTGATTTGGTTGCTATGGATGAGAGCTGGAGTTTTGCACCAGTGTTTGTTAATCAGCCTTGCTTATGTAGAGATGGCGAGTATTTTTATGTCAACCATTTTTTATTTATCATGACAGAGTACTGATTTGCTCACTGCCAAAATACCCAAGTGGCAGGAAATATGCACAGATGTCGCACAGGTCCCAGATAATATCAGTAATATGATCCCAGATCTGAATACTCCTGGAACCACACCTATATCTGGGACCCCGGACCCATCTCCCCTCATGGACAAGAAGGCACTGGTAAGACCTTAGTTTAGGACACCGCTCTACTGCTGGTGGTGACATCTTTCCTTACTACTAGTGTCATCTGCTGCTTCCTTTCTTGCACACAGCATAGTATCCCTAATGATCTCAACCACTTGCATATCCCAGTGTGATTGCCAGTAATAAATTATATTGGTGCTTGTTGTTGTGTCAGAAGGTGTATCAAGTTTATTGCCTTTACGATAAAACATTAATCACAGGGCAAGCCTCTATACATGGCTGCACTATTTTCATTTGGTAATGCAGTTTTTGCAATGTATTTCTTTCTCTGTAGGTGAAAGAAATGCATACAGCACAGTATGTGGAAACTCAACGTTTTCTGAATATCCTTGCATCAGTTCGCTAAATAGAATAATTTTTTAGGATGTTTTTAAGACAAGACAAAGTTTCCACTAAAAGAAATCAGCCACACAGTACACCGCAGTTCATTAGTTCATTTTATATTAGGGATGTTCAGATACCAGTGCTGTTGCTTGACATTTTCACAAGAACTACCAGGGTCACAGCAGATGCAGCTGGTAACTAGCTCTTGCTCGCGACCATTGTCCTGAAATCATTAGTCTGTATTGTTTTAGAAAAACTGTCACATGACACTAAGCAAAAATGTATCAGTACTTGTATCTGTGAGTACTTGGACAAGTATCAGTACTTGTACTTGAAAAAAATGGTATTGGTGCATCCCTGATATATATTTATATAAAAAAACTAAAAATTGTACATTAAAACAGGAATCCACAAATCCCAGGAGCTTCGTATGCTCCCTAAAAATGACAGCTGCCTCCTAACTTTTGAATTTTTCTCTAGGAGTCTTGGAGTTGGAAAAGTATCTGTACTTGCACTTGTACCGATTACGGTACTTGGTATCTGAACATCCCTACTGTATATCAAATGTATACATTTACAAACAATATACACACACACACATATCTCTCTTCTTCAATCAAAGGCTATATACATAAAACAAAAAAAAACAATTTGAAATACTCTAATACAAACAATTCAAAGGTAACCTCCTAAATATAAACATTATAATTCTGTAAATATTGGTGAGACCTCGAACAAGTCTCATTCTAAATACCACTCTAATCAATACCTTATGAAAAAAATGTCCGAGGGAAGGTAAGATTATGCTCCTCGGGTGTTTAAAAATAGAGCACCCTTGGGGAGGACCCGGGTCTTACCACACATGGTGGGATTATTTAAGAATTTGAATCCCCTTGGGCCAGCACACTGGAACGGTGCAGTCCCAGTATTTGTTCTTTCCTTTAGATGTATTCAAGACAAGAATTTTTTCTACATACAAAAGTAAGCTGCAACACAAGACCTTGCAGGTTTAAATCTTGCTGCTCAGCGTGGGAGAGACTGGAGAAGAAAGTAGCCTATGTAGTCTATGTAAGCAGATTATGGATGACTCTAGTGGACAAGATCCAAATGATTGCTGATATCATTTTCAGAATTACAAGATACATTATAGCTCCCTCTCTTTTTTTTCTTGCTTCCTTGAGTGGAGTATAAATATAACTTTATAGTCAGACTCTATGTCACCAGGAAAGATAGGTGTTATAATATTTTACTGTTCACGTTTAGTTTGCTTATCAGTGATGCCAACCTAATATTGATTTTATAGCTATCTACTTTTTTTATTGACATTTGTTAATAATATTCTACTGCTTTTCGTTGTTGCATTTCTAACACTGATAAATTACTTGCCATGTGTAGTACTCCCTAACCATCATGAGTGACATAAGCAATATCAAGGGTTTTTGGTGCTGTTAAATATTCTGAGCCAGTCAGGGCTCTATACATCTGAACAGTGTGACCATCTAACAGTGTGCACTTTACTGATATATTTCAGATGGGTGTGAACAATGACACCATCTCCAGGAACACATTAAGGATGCCTCCAGCACCCCCAAGCAAGGCACATCCCAGTCCCCTAGTGGATATGTTCAACAATCCAGCAGCTCCTCAGAAGCCGACATTTAACAGACTACCATCACAAGGTATGGGAGACCTGCCTCCGTGTAAGACTGACTAACACCAGAAGGGTTACAACCACCACTAGATTTTATCAGAAGATCAGCAATAACAGCTTAAGTATTACATGGCAAGGATGGCACTTTGCAGCTACAAAACACTAAAAAAAAACAATGTATTGAACAAAAATGTATGTAAATCCTATTTTACAGTATTTTTTTTATCATTATTACTTCTTAAGGAAATAATTGTTTGGATCTGTTGCACGTTTTTTACCTTACGACAATTAAAGAGACTTGTTTTCTTGCTTCAAATGTCCAGCAACTGTCTCTGGGAATTAGCTGGTGCTAATTATATAAATAATGGTGTCCTATCCTGTGTTAGGGAATATCCCTGTAGTCACAGGACTATACAACATGGCATAGTTACATAGTTAGGTTAAAAAAGACACATGTCCATCGAGTTCATCCTATAGAGATATGAAAAAAAAAATCTTAAACTGAACGCTATGCCCACAATTACCCACTGTTGATCCAGAGGAAGGCATGATGCCGTGGTGTAAAGCACGCCGCCACTGGACTCTAGAGAAGGGGAGACGTGTTCTCTGGAGTGACGAATCACGCTTCTCTGTCTGGCAATCCGATGGACGTGTCTGGGTTTGGCGGTTGCCAGGAGAACGGTACTTGCCTGACTGCATTGTGCCAAATGTAAAGTTTGGTGGAGAGGGGATTATGGTGTGGGGTTATTTTTCAGGGGTTGGGTTTGGCCCCTTAGTTCCAGTGAAGGGAACTCTTAAGGCATCGGAATACCAAGACATTTTGGACAATTTCATGCTCCCAACTTTGTGGGAACAGTTTGGGGATGGCCCCTTCCTGTTCCAACATGAGTGCGCACCAGGGCTCAAAGTAAGGTACTTACAGGGATGAGCGAGTTTGGGGTGGAGGAACTTGACTGGCCTGCACAGAGTCCTGACCTCAACCCGATAGAACACCTTTGGGATGAATTAGAGCGGAGACTGCGAGCCCGGCCTTCTCGTCCAACATCAGTACCTGACCTCACACATGCTCTTCTGGAAGAATGGTCAAACATTCCCATAGACACACTCATAAACCTTGTGGACGCCTTCCCAGAAGAGTTGGAGCTGTTATAGTGGCAAAGGGTGGGCCAACTCAATATTGAACCCTACGGACTAAGACTGGGATGCCATTAAAGTTCATGTGCGTGTAAAGGCTGGCGTCCCAATACTTTTGGCAATATAGTCTTATGTGTATTTGAAGGTTTCCTCTTGCCAATTCATGCTGCAGGGGCCTCTGTGGAATCCCCAGTCATGTCACCCATTCAACTGTTCAATTTTTTTCTCACAGGTGAAAACAATGAAGAGAGCAGCTTGCCACGATCTTTGTCTGTAGCCACAGGGCTGAACATGATGAAGAAGTCAAAAGTCAGAACCATTTTTCCTCACACTGGAAATAGTAAGACTTTACTAAGCTTTCAACAAGGAGATGTCATTACTCTACTTATCCCAGAAGAGAAGGATGGCTGGCTGTACGGAGAACATGACACAACAAAAGTGTAAGTTTCCAAAGCTGGCTGTATACCAAATATTATAGTGTACCGAAACCTTACTGTTCAAATTTCTTAAAGCCCCACCCCAGTCAAATTGTTTTATGTGGGGAAGGATTAGATCCGCTCTCATTTTTTTATTTTCTTGTCTGTGTTATTATTGGAGATATTTCCCCTTTACTTTCTGTCAGGACAGGAAATGATGGGCGATCTCTCGAGGGCACACAGACTAAAACAAAAACACGTTTTTAGTAGAGCGGGGAAAGGTTAGAACATTGGAGAATGTCTTTATTGCGGTCTATGCCTTGTTGTCCTTGTAATGACTGCGCCCCTCATTTCTTGTACCGACATCACAGGGACAGCAAGTGAGGAAAATCTCCCCAATGTCGTTACCAAAAGGTTCCTAACAGAAATTTAGGCAGAATCTCCTGACACAAATAACTCTTCATCGCTCTATCGAAAACTAAAAAAAAAAAAAAGCTTACGTTAGACTTTAAAGTAAACTTTAACTAAACGTCTGTTGTTGACCTCTTCTGAAAATACTAGTTACTTGGAACTCATGCCCTTTCAGTGGCTTCAGTTCTTTCTGACTTTGTGATCCAAAACAAGGCATGTCAAGTCAGAACGTCTAATTTGCATACTTGTTCCAGGCTGGTAACCAATAATGAAGCCAGAAAACCAACATAAAAAGCCAATAATGAAGCCAGAAAACCAACATAAAAATCCAAGCATGTATGGTTTTCAGAAGCAGTGGTCAGCAATGACAGACTATGCATTTCTCTTGTCACAGGTTTCCTTGGACAAGAATACTTTGTGATGACAAATCAGGCTGAACTTTAGCATCCTGATTCTGAAAACAATACACAGCACCATCTTGTGGCCAGATTTCATAGTGCAGAGAAAAAAGAACATCTAGAATAATAATGTAGTCTAATATATAGTAAAACTGGTACACTAATATGTCTCAAGCTTACCCAAATGGCTTTTTTAGGAAAGTCAGAAATTGGATTTGACTGTTTAATGGCATCTCCCGTTTAAATGTTTATAAAAAGCCAGCAGTATTCTATTTCTTCTGTTTCACACACTGTATATGAGTTATCTTGTTAACACAACTACATTTTACCAGTTTTTACAACAAAAATGTCATCTTGCTTTTGTTTTATTTTTTTGTGTACGTTTTGGGGGCTGGGGGCAACTCTAAAAGTCACTTTATCCTTTATATTCATTATAGTTGGTAAGTAATCTCAGGAAGTGAAGCCAGCATAGCAGCTGCTCGCTCCTAGTGTAGAGTCTCTATGTAGCAGTGCTATGCTCCTTAGCATAGCACTCCTCTTGAGGCATTTCCCCAGAGGATGGAAATCCTAGGTGGTGTAATTACTTTTTCCACATTTTGCTACTTTTTTTTGTTGATTCTGTTTCACATATTGTATGTGCTTATATAAACATTTTTTAACCAGAACGTCATACACAACTTTCCATTATGGAGACTTATAAATACGGTAATTGAAAAACAGACTGCAGAGCAGTGAAAAGGATAAAATAAAAAATAAAAATTGTAACTGGATAGCTGCTTGCTGCCACTGGTCTGTAGTGAGAGACTTTGGTTTATCTGATTTGTCCTTTGATAGATCTCTTGATTTCAGTAGCAATAGTCTGTAAATACATTGTGAATTCATCTTACCATTTATTATTTTAAAGCGTTTTTATTCAAATTTTCCTGATGTGCCGAATTACAAATGCAAAATGTATAATTCTCTCTTTATAAAAAAGTCATAATTGTGCATAGTCACTGGTATTTAGTAAGGCAACAGAACACAGGATGTACAATAACTCGAAGCAGCCAATCATACTGTATTTATACTTCAGTGACAGATTAATTCTGATTGGTTGCTATGGGACAAGCTGTGTACAATTTTTTTTTAAGCTTGTTGTTTTTCCTTAAATGCATTATTGCTTTTTTATATGTTCATGTACTACTACTACTACTACTACTATTACTACTACTACATTTTTATATTGAACCAAAAATTGGTGCTAAAAATACTGTTCACAATTCTTTTTCTTGTCCTATGGCAGAGGGAATAGGCCATTGTTTAGACTGAGTATTGAATCACCCCAATATACAGTGAATGCACACATTTTGAAAAATATGATCCTTTAGACTGGCGACATATCTAGTCATTGTATTCCCTACTGCAGGACCATTTACTTCATGAAAATCGTAAATGACTGTTTTGTGCAGAGATATTGCTATTTTGTCTCATATTATTTCTTTTTGTTTGCAGCAAAGGCTGGTTCCCATCATCTTATACCAGACCATTGGAAGAGAACGGAAGAGAAACCATGCAGATGCCAAGGTATGGTGTGAAATGCCAAACACCTCCTCCTTCTAAAACAAATATTTAAAAAATAAGTGTAATGTGCGGTGTATAGTAACCCATAGCAACTAATCAGCATTCATGTTTCTCTGATCACAGTTTAACAATATGAAATTTGATTACCACAATGTTATACTGTATGTATAACACTCAAGGCGAGTGGATCATCACAGCCTACCCTGCAAACCCCTTGGTTGCTTGTCTGGCTCATTGTATTCCGATAGATCAGTCAGAGTAAGAAATGGAAATGTATTGCCGCACTCTAGGCTGCAGCAAATGTCCTTATTGCATAGCCGGTGAGGTCACCTCCTGACACGTTCTATGCAAAACATGTCAGGCATGACTCCTGCTGCTAGCCAATAAAAAAGGAAAAGTTGTTATTGAAGGTTGGAGTGCAGTGATTTATTTCCATTTCATTTTCTGAATGAAATTTGTATGGATATACACACTTTGTGGATCCTCATTTTTGTTTGCACTGCTTTAGTACATATAGCTACAAGTTTCCGATCCTGATGTATTCAGGTACATTGTTTATCATCTAGTACAGTATATTGTAGGCTTAGTGATGGAAAACAAACAATCTATGCATTATAATTGTACACCCAGCTGTTTTACACAACCACAAACATTAGGCTAGGCATCAAATGTGTGTATGGGTGTGATATTCAGACAAGCTTTGCTGCCGCACCTAGAACATGCCTCCCTGAAGGCTATGGCATGTTGCCAAAGGTCTGTGACTGTTTTGTATGGGAAAACAAGTAGCTGGCACTGGAGTTATGATGAGTGTGCAACTCTGGCCCTGCTTCATGCAAGGTATGATATACAAACAATGGTATGTGGGGACTGCAGATTCCCACACAGTGATGAGTTACTATTTCTCCGCATTTTCTGTGTTCTTCTACAGCATGAATCCCAGCCCTGCACCAATGAGAAGTCTCAGCTCAGCCAACCTTACTGAGAAGAATAACATGGTTCTTCCCGAACCAGACTACTTAGACTCATCTTCACTAAGCAGCTCAAGTGATCGTGAACAGGCTTCCTTCACGCCACCTTTTGCCAAACAATCTGCCCTATTCTCTAGTAATGAATCTCCTGTAAGTATCCATTAGGACTGGATCAAGCTCGGTTCTTCTTACAAGTAACTCCAGGTTGCAAGTAAAATGGTTGAGCAATATTTGTATGCAGTGAAGAAACATAGTTTCATGTGGCTCACCTTCTAGATTTGTATAGATTACGTCCATGATCTGTTGCAGCCAGACGGATGAGAGGTTCTGAATGAGGTGCAGTCTGTTTCAGTTTATTCTGTCCTAAGCAAATTCTCTCCTGGCAGAGCTTTCTGCATGTAATACTCATTGTAGAGAGGTGTGATAGAAAATTCTGAACACATTTGATCGACCACTTCACGACCGAGAGATGGCGATTTAAAAGCCTTTACTGCTCATCAGTTTAGAGTTAACAGCAAATTATGGCCCCAGAATGATTGTTCTCGCTCCGACGTCCGTGTCAATACCTGTTCGCAGTCATTGTTTATGTACGAGCAGCTTTATGTAACATACAGGTGACGGGGGTTGGTGCGGTTGCTTTTAATTTTGTTTTTATTATTCTACATTATTATTTATTTATTTTTACTTCATTGCTACCACAAGGGGGCTAACAAGGTCCTATGTGATGGCATTGGCAGGTGACTTAGCTTAATGGAGACATTAGGACTCTATTAGACCCCTTATGCCTCCCCTGCCCTTCAAATGCAGGATTATGCTTGGTCATCTTTTTACCTGGCATCTCAGGCAGGCTCTGAGAGCACAGTGACTCCTGCTTCAATGATCATCCTGACACATTTTGCTGTGGTCCTGGGCTGTGGGAGAGCGCCGATACCATGGGAAGGGGGGGGGGGGGGGGGCGCCGCTCCCAGG